CGGGGGGGGGGGGGGGTGAAGGGCATCACTGGTAGATCCTGTTTCTTTTCTTTCACTTTGTTGTTTCTGTCTGTCTTCCTTTCTTTTTCCCTGTACTGTATGACCGTTATTGTGTCGATACGCTTCCCATTACTTTAACTTAAACTCCCATTTCAGAGGGGGAGGATTCGGGATTTTTTGTTTTGCTTTATTGACCACATATACATTCTTAAAGAAACGACGCCATGTTGTTTCCACACCGATGTGTATGTGAGATTTTAGCTGTTTTCTTTATTTGTCTCCCATCTAAATTTCACTATTCTAGTTACTTCGAAAGTCTCAATGAGCCAATTCGTAGTGGATATAATACTAAACATTCGATACATCCCAAGAAATGAATATGGGACAACATAAGAGAAGAAAAAGAATTCATACGGCAGTGGAATTTGAAACAGCGCTACCCTTTGCAGGCAAAGCTCCCAACTATCTGTGCAGCGATGGTTGTCACAACGAAGGGAGAGCACTCAACTTAGGGCATACGCCTCTGGGCTTTCTGATGTGGTTCACTCCTGCTCCCTTTTTAGAGTCGATATCTGTCTAATTTTTCTTTGCCAAATATCTCCATCATCGTTGTAATACTTGACAACAACAACAGCAGCAGCAGCACCACCACCACCACCAGCAGCAGCAGCAACAGCAGCAGCAGCAGCATCTTCAAAGACTATGAAAGCCATGAGTCAAAGAGCCAATTATAAGTTAATCGCTCGCTTCAGACGTGAAGTTCTAGAACCGGCTAACCTTTTATCGTTGCCAGCTATTCTATTACATTTCTTGAGACGCTTAAGGGATCAAATCAATGTTCTATTCATATATGCAGTAGGGCTTTAGGTTTGTCGTATCGACCTTATGCAAGATTGATAATGACTTATGGTTAGTTGAGATCGCTCAAAAAGCAATACGACGAAACCCACGGTAGCTGGGGCTATGCTGCCCTTTTGTGGTATAATGAGGATACAGCAAAATGACAAAAAACAATACAAATTGACTTTAAAAAATAAATAAAAGAGTTTAAAAACGTGCTGAGAAGGAGATTTAATTCAATGCGTGCTGAAAAGCCCCATGTTACATCTGCACTTCTCTTGCAATTTTAACTGGCGTCCCTAAGAACAAAACTACGGAAGTAAGTCATAGGAGAACTGCACTGGTTTCCACGGAAGACCCAAGATAATCTTTTCACGAGTTCCTTACAGTGTTTTTTTTGCCATTCTTCTTCATTTAGTATTATGTTATTTCCCCGTAAACATTCTTTCACAAGTAATGGATTTTCTTTTGCTGTGATGTGAGGAGATGATGCATGTGTAATCGTCTTCCGTGAATCTTTAGAAACAAAATGCGGCCATAAAGTTGTTTTAAAGTGTTCCACGTTGAAACGTAACTTATTGATTTTAAACCACGCTTATTATTTCTGACAGTTAATTATAGAAAAAAAAATCAAGTATTTTGATGTATCTGAGGCATGCCAATAGTGTGCACAGGGCGGGCGAATGCTGTTATATTTCCAAAAAAATTTGTTTTCAATAAGTTACATCACGCTCGGAGAAATTAAAATTTCCTTTCTCAAGAGATACGTTACATCACTAGCATAAAGAGGGAAGAAAATGCACTATGATATAAGCTAGAGGTTGAATTTCAGATAGGGTAATGCTGTCTACTTTTGAGAAAGAATGAGAACAGGCAACTTGTCGCTGCCGTTCTGCATACTATTATTTCCATATGGCATGCGATAACAGGGGAATCAAGTTGGTAAACGCTTAATTTTGTACATGTATAACAATAGTCTACAGACATTGCGACACAACTATGACGATGACAGATGTCGTGACGAGAAGACAAAGGTTTCAGTTTCCAGTTTTTTCCCCATTGATTCTACTTCTACGATTTATGTACTTTTCCTTTGATAATTATTGCATATTGATATTCGTAACCACCCTGCGGTACAACCATCTTTTCTGCAGTAACATGTCCCATTTGCAAGTCTTTGCGTGCATACATTAGGAATTTTGTGATTGTTGCTGATTTTATTCAGGTCGGAGCCTATTGTTTTGTAATTGTTATTGTGCTCTTTTTGTTTGGAGGGAGGCAAAAACTCATTTATGCCAACTGTCTGTTCAGGATTGCACGCAATTGCTCATCCCCCAACCCCACCCTTCAGTTAGGACCAAAAACGAAGTCTAACTTGTTCGGCGATTTTTGCGTCTGTGCTCACTTGTAACAGACAAACTGACAAAGTAACAGACAGCTGCCTCGTTCATGTTAAAACAATTGAGAATCAAGAGAAAAGAAAGAAAGCAACTCTCTCTCTCTCTCTCTCTCTCTCTCTCTCTCTCTCTCTGTCTGTCTCTTTCTCTCTCTCTTTTCTCTCTCTCTCTCTCTCTCTCTCTCTCTCTCTCTCTCTCTCTCTCTCTCTCTCTCTCTCTTCTCTCTCTCTCCAACTCCTCCCCTCTGTCTCTGTAGTCTCCCTCTCCCTCTCTCATCTCTTCTCTTTCTGTCTATTTTCATCTCATCCCTGTCTCTTGCTTTCTTCCTCATTTCACTTTCTTTTTTTACTGACAAAAGTACATGTATTTTCATTTCGGTCATTTTACAGAAGAAAGCCAATAATTACAGTTTTGCCTAGTGTTGCTTAAATACGAATGTTAATTTGCAAATTCCAAAAGGTAGTCATCAATTAAAAAATATATTATGTAAAACCTCTTACTGTACTGTTGCGAAGTTTTACTTCAGTTGATTTAATTTGTTTGCTTGTTTCTTTCTCTTTTTTCGATACTGTGC